TCACTCACTCACTCACTCACTCACTCACTCACTCACTCACTCACTCACTCACTCTCTCTCTCTCTCTCTCTCTCTCTCTCTCTCTCTCTCTCTCTCTCTCTCTCCCTCCCTCTCTCCCTTCCTCCCTCGCTCACTCAGTTACTCTCTCACACACTCACTCACTCACTCACTCACACACTCACTCACGCTCGGCATGCAGGCATAGGCAGCACCACACGTCACGACACGCTAGTGGCGCCACCGAGTGAGCAGCCAGGCTAACGCTAGTGGCGCCACCGAGTGAGCAGTCACGTTGTAATCCACTCGCACGCGATGGATAGAACGTCTCCTCTCCGGCCACACGTGACTAGCACCGACGGTCACGTGCCACGACTAGCAACCTCACCTTCCCCCTCACCGCCGCGTCGATCCACGCCCCCATCGTGCGCCCCCTGGCGGCAGCGCAATTCTAGCATGTTCTTGTGTCGCGCGAGGCGCGGGGAAGCCTTGTCGGTGGCGGCAAGTCGTGCGTTGAGACGACACGGCGGCGCGTGGCTCCTCTAGTGGTTCCCCCGCGCCACGCCGCGAAGCACCGCGGGAAAGGTGGCGCAACGGCCGCCGTCGCGGGGCGCCACCGGTTGCCTCGCGCGTCGGGTAGGGGGCGCACCGCGGGCGGGCGGGGAGACCGCGCGCGCGGATCTTCACACGATCACGAAAACAGTACGAAAACATATGAACATCTGTGTATAAAATTGCCTAGAAAAATATCGCACCATCATCATCTGGAATCGACGCCCCTGCGTTGGGACAAGCGCAGTTTGTAGCGCGCGCACTTCGCCGACTGCCGCAGCGCACCCTGGGCGGCCGCCTCCGTGTCGAACGTCGCTAACACAGTACTCGTCTGCGCCGACACCTTGTACGACTTGTAGCTGACGGGCACGCCTCCCGGCTCCTGCAGGAACTGGATGTGACAGCCCATCTCGGTGAGGTCTCGCAGCATCACCTCCATGTCGAGGCAGGTGATGCTCTCTGGATAGTCGTACACTTCCAGAGCGCAGGCGGGCGTCGACAGCACGGAACCTGTGACGATAGCCGCCGGTTAACCTTCACGACAATGGTTAGTTACATAACGATTAAGTAAACGATAGTTAATTAGTTAAAAGTAGGCAGCATCGGCAGTGTCGAACCTACGAGTAATTAGTGAAAAGTAAATAGTCTAAGCAGCGTGGAACGTGCGACGAGAGCCGACGGTTAATGACAATAGTTAGACTCGTAACGATTTATAGTAATTTATAAAGGTTATTATGATCTATATAAGTAATCGACAATTAATTAATTAATAAAAAACTAAATATCATTAACGTACAAGTATTAATTGCATTAGCTATAATCATCTAAGTTTAAACACCAAGGTGATCTATTCGTTAAATACCAATTAAACAGTTCGTTAAAGATTAAACACTATTCGTTCAGTAGATCCTCGATCATGAGTTACTCATAACGCGAACCGTAAAGCTACCGTATATGCTCAAACAAGTGGCGCAGAGCGACAGCACTCAACTGACGTGTACTGTAGCCGGGTATTCTTCTGATAAACTCACTGGCATCCGAATCAAGTGCGCCCTCCCGCCACCGCGTTGATAGGCTTTGCTATACCGGTAGTACAGTAATAAAGATATAGCTGTGTAACTTTAATGACTTCACTATATTAACGTTATCATGGATATACGTCGAGCGCGAGCGTAGTGGTGGTGGTGGGGGAATGTGG